CAATATTTTCGTTGAAAAAATATGGAGCGTTTTTTTGAGAAAATGTTGATTAAATCTTTCTGTTAATGCGAAAATTGAATTTCATTTTCACCAAAAACTTTTGAGTTTTTGAAAAAATTCGTAAGAAATTAATTACAGTAATTGTTTTGACAAATACAACTAGTGGTGCTATAATATGACACAGACTTTCTTGTACTAGTTAGTTTTCTAATTTCTTTGGTCTGGGTTACATTTTCGGTTTGCCCTACCCCCTCCCAAGTCACCTATAGCAACTCTAATTTTTTTCCATTTTTCTGTCACCCTAAAGGTAGAAATAAAACATGGCTTTAAGAATATTATAGAAGTGTAAAACCTCGTCACATATGGAAATTTTCATTATATCAAGAAACTTACATTTGTCTAATTTTTGCAAAAACGAAAGATTACATCAAAGTGACATTGATGTCATGTTGTTAGACCATTTAGCACCATGCATTCAAAAAATGAAAGAAAAATTTACTGCCTATTTTTGTTGAGAAAATAGCGTTTTAGCGTTTTTGAAAATGCGGAATTTTCTGTTCCTTTTCTCAAAAAACTTTTGAGTTTTTGAAAAACTTATTAAGACATCATTTGAAGCACACATTCTCATAAATGCAATAAAAATCGCCCGGTAAAATTTATCAAAAGTATGAATTTTTTCGGCGTCTTCCTATTACTATAACTGAAGATAGATATATTTCTTTCGCATGAAATTTGATGTTTATAAGCGTTCTTTCAATTTGAAACTTTTAGTAGTTTTCGCATTTCTCGTTTTTGCTTGGAATATTTACAATTTAAAAAAAACACAAGAATAAGGCTACAAATCGAAAGCTGGTGAAAATCCTTAGAGAAGAGTTAGAAACAAACTACTAAGGAGTTGAGTGATAAACTCGTTAAACTTGAAGACAAACACACGAGTAAGGAGTTCATCCACCAAAAGGAGGATATGACATATGACATCAGGAATGATGTCAACAAAATTGCAAATGCAGTAGGTAAGCTTACAGCAGACATTCAATCTTGCATGGAGGGGCAGAAAAAACATGAAAAAAGATGTGACAAGAATGAATCCTCGCAAGAAACCACGGCAAAATGAGTAAACGAAATATCAACAGAACTCCAAAATATTAAGACTCATGGAGCAAACCCCAAAACTCACTCTGGGCTCATCAGAGAGATTGAGGAATGTGAGTTACGCAAGAGGAATGTAATTCTTTATGGGTACAGGAATCAAGAATGGGTGATGTTGAAACTTGAAAATCTGAAGATCTAATTGTTGTTAAGGAAATTCTGAAAAAATGGATATACAAGCTGAGCATAAAATTGAATATGCTATTAGATTGGAAAAACCTAACTTAGAGGATGAGGATTCTAGACCAAGACCTGTCAAAATAATTTTGATCTCTCTGTTACTGCCAAAAATATTTTTAAAAATCGGAAGAAATTTTCACATGGAATTAAAGCTACAAACTATCTAACCCCAATGGAGAGATCTGCCTTGAAAGATCTTAATGCAGAACTAAAAAGCAGACAAGAATCAAACCCAAAACTTGTCATTAAATACATTAGGGGGTTCCGCAGATTGTAGACGGGGAGGGAAACGAGAAAAGGCAGTAACAAGCAACTCTGACACAAATACAAAAATTATGTACACGAACATCGCCGCTCTTCTTCCAAAGTTTTACCAATTTCTGATAGAAGTCAACACTGTGCAACCAGATGTAATAATAATTACCGAATCATGGCTCAACTCAAATATTCCTGACCTTTTAATGCATGTACCTGGCTTTCACATATATCGCAGAGACAGGCTGGACTGGCGAGGAAGGGGAGAAATAATGTGTGTGAAACAAAAAATTAGAAGTACGACTGTGAAAGTGACAAACATGTACGAAATACAAAACCTTGACGTGGAAGCACTCTGGTTGAAACTATAATATGGAAACATACTATATGCTGTAGGGGGAATACAGAGTTAATCAAACCCCTACGATTCTTGATTTAGTGTTAACTATTGATGAAGACTTTAATCCCCGATTATAAGGCCAAATATTGGTCAAAGTGATCACTTGGTGATTATGACATCGCTACAAGTAGATTCGCCCATGGATAAGAGTGTTTCTTATAAATCCATCTCTAAACCTAATTTCTTTTAAGCAGACTACATAACAATAATGAGACACCTTACTGAACCATACATTACGAAATGCAGATATTAACGAAGACGCTGAAAACAATAATGTTGAAACTATGAGAATTTCTGTGAAACATTTAAGGGTCTTTTAAATACTCACTCACCGCATATCAAGAAGACAATAAATTTAAATAAACCTTGGATTAATCATCAGATCATAAAACAAAGCAGACTCAAACGTCGAGCATGGGCAAATTATAGAAGAATTGGAACAGATGAAAGTTACACCATCTATAGAAACATCTCAAACAATCTCACCTAATGTGAGACAGCGTAAACAAAAACACGAAGAACAAATTGTTCAGGATGGTGGCAAAAATTCTTCTCCTATATACAAAGACTAACCAACTGTAAAACTGGTCCTTCTATGATTGTTCTGATTGGAGATTCTGTGATAACTGATCCAAGTGAAATCGCGGAATGCTTTTCAAATAATTTCGGAAAAGTATATACTGTTTAACCGGAGGGCCCATTGCCGATTATTGAAAGGAAATGCACCGGAATTATTGAAAATAGTGAATTTTGAAACATCGAAACTACCCAGATAATGTGCGGACTGAATGCAAGCTCATCCATTGACCTTGATGGCATTACAACCGTGTATGTGAAAAATTGTAAACTACAACTAGTCCCTTTACTGAACAGAAAATTTAAAGAATCATTAGAATAAGGGAAGTTGCCCTCTGCATGGCAAAAGCTGTCATCACACCAGTTTCAAGAAATAAGACAGAAAATGATATTATCCCTAAACAACAACACGGTTTCATTCCAGGAAGATCTACATCTACACATTTACTTCGGTCGCTAGATGTATGGACCAAAGAATTGGATTAGAAACAATCAGTTGACGTCATTTATCTATATTACGCAAAAGCTTTCGATAAAGTACCACATAAATGTCTCATTCACAAACTCTCATCTTTGGGTATACGAGGTAAACTATTGAGGTGGATTCAGGAATATTTATCGGGCAGAACATTTCAGGTGGCGATTGAAAACACACTGTCGATACGTCGACCCGTTACAAGTGGTGTCCCCCATGGTTCAGCTGTAGGCCCGACACTTTTCATTCTACACACTTGTGACCTAGGTGATGATCTGTCTTCAATTTGGAACTGGTATGAGGACGACACCAAACTTTTCTCAAATCCACAAAAAATCTATCAGATGTTACAAAATGACCTCAACAAAGTGGTGAGATGGTCGGAATCTTGGTTGCTGTCTTTAAAGTCCAATAAATGTACGGTCCTCCATCTAGGAAATAATAACCCAAATCTTAATTATAGCATTGAAAGTCACATCCTCAATTCGACGATAAAACAAGATGATCCCGGTGTTCTTATTACTCGAAATTTGAAATGAGATAGGCATGTTACTGCTGTTACCAAAAGAGCAATAAGCTATTATACCTGATCAGAAAGGCATTCTCTACATTACGTCCATCTACGGTAAAACTGATGTGTACGATGTATATTAGATCTAAGCTAAGTATGCTAATGTGGTTTGGTCCCATTATTATCAAAAAGGTAAAAACATATTGAAAAAGTGCAAGGCAGATTACCAAGATCCCTAAAGAACTATGTCAAATGGATTATGAAGGAAGATGCAGGGAATTATCACTTCTGACATTAGAACAGAGAAGAAATATGAGTGATATTTTAGATTTAAAATATTGAATGAATATTATAACATTCCTGAATTTAACAACTTCTTTATTAAAGCCACAGTATCTATACTAAGAGGACATATGATGAAACTAGTGAAAGAAAGGACAAGGACAGGGCAACGTTCTCATTTTATTGTGAACTGAGTAGTAAATCCGTGGAATTCCCTTCCTACACACTGTACACAAAAGAAAACCCTGAACGCCCTCAAGGACAGTCTGGATACTCAAACTTTTGTGATCAATTAAATGATGGTACACTCACACCCGATGATATGCATGTACTATCATTATAATTGTGATTTAATTATAACATTGTTACTCTACGAAAGTGATTTATTATATAATTTTATTACACCGTTTGTAACATATGTGTACAACAGCTTGTTGCTGCCACCATTAATTAATAATAATAATAATAATAATAATAATAATAATAATAATAATAATAATAATTTTTGTGATTTAATAATCTGATTTAACTTTGTCCTTTCAGAAGCATAAAGAATGCTTGAAAAATAGTGCAGTTCTCATTAACGTTGAAATCTCTGATTTTTCGAAAATCGCAAAGGTTCAAAATGTTTTTGGAGTGTTCCTACAACTACAATGTTGAAAAAAGGGATTTGACCTTTAGAAAAGGTCATGCACAATTTTTTTAAATAAAAAGTAGTAGTTTTTGTATAATTTCTACCTGCCATTGTTTTTTTTTCCTTTTTTCTCCCCTTTTTTCTTTCTTTCTTTCTTTCTCTCTTTCTCTCTTTCTCTCTTTCTCTCTTTCTCTCTTTCTCTCTTTCTCTCTTTCTCTCTTTTTTCTTTCTCTTTTTCTCTCTTTCTTTCTTTCTCTCTTTCTTTCTTTCTTTCTTTCTTTTTTTCTTTCTTTCTTTCTTCTTCTGCAGATAGAGCAAATGGCTTAAAAATGGTGTAAACTATGTTGGATAATTACACAAAATTATAATTTTGAATTTGAAATCATGAGACTAGTAACAGTAGGCTCTTTTCTTATCACTTTTTATGTGTTTATAATTAAAAATTTATTTGTACAATTTTTATCAGAGTTGAAATCACTGATTTTTGTGTATAATAATTTATAATTATAATAATTAATTGTAAAATGTCTTCTTTTAGGTTGATCTAATGATTGGTTACACTCAAATGGAGGATATTCTTTCAGTAATAGATAATTATGATGTTGAGAAAGGTGTCCCAGAGTCTTCATTAAATAATGTAATAGAAGCAATTGTAAATCATGATGTAAGTAATGTAGACAATGAAACAGACAGCTGCACTCCCAGTTTTGATCACTTAAAGAAAGCTATTGAGTTTTACTATAAACCTACTCCTCTGTCTACTGAGAAGATGTATTATGAAAAATTGGTAAACTTAGTAACAGAACAAAAATATGGATCTGGCACATACAGGCAAGCAATGGAAGTTGCTGGTACAGGTGCTTCAGTATTTGTGTATCGATTTGACTATAAACTTAAAACAAAAATTCCTAATGATGCAGATTTAAGTTCAGACTCTCTAACAGTACCTCATTTTTATGATTTACCCTTTGTTTGGGGTATGCCCTATTATCAGTCATGGTCAAAAATATCAGCTTGGAACAATGTTGATAGAAAACACACAGATACAGTAATGCAACTATGGACTAACTTTGCAAGATCTTCAAACCCTGCGCAGGGAGCAGGTACTGTGAAATGGGAAAAGTTTGATGAAAATTCACCTGGTATAATGCTTCTTGATCGTAATCCTAATATGACTGATCCTCTCAACCCACAAGGGGTAGATTATAAATCATTTGTATTTTGGAATACATATTATCCAACTGTTAAGGCTGCTCCAATTAATTGCTGCAATATGACAGCTGGTGGGTTACAACTACAGTATGAGTCTGTCACAGTAGCAATGTGGACTTTTTTCGTAGGAGCTCAATATGTCATATTAAACTAGATATCAAATTTTGATGCAAACAATAAAACTTATATTATTTTGAAAACTTCTGAAAAAGTGAAATATTAAATAAAAAATAAAAATATCAACATGTGTCTACCAAATTCTTATTTTCTTATTCTGGGAAAATTAAAATTTTTGGGACAAATTCTGAACTACTAATGCCTGTGATTAATAAAAAGCAAATTGTTTTCTTACCATAATAAAAGAATTGATTTCATTCATTAGAGAAAATGGTATTGGAAGATATACTTTACTATATGTATTTTATTGAAAGTCAGCGTGGAAGAATCAAACTACCACAAAATGGGAATATGCCTTTGTTAAAAAAATATATTTCAATACACATAAGACATGGACTCGATTTGTGATCTGGCAATATGAAGTTCAAAGGCTCACAAACCCAAATAAAAAGTTATACTTTTGCTCCAATGTGAATTAGTTCTTCTTGTCACACAGAAAGGAATGAGATTAAGCATAGGAATGAGATCTTGCATTTATTTCTAAGGTTTTTGCAACAATTCCCATGTACAATATAAATTGCATGATTTTCAACCCATAGTGATGGAAAAGGCAAGATCAGGTGAGGTATTCGGGTGTAAATAATGGAAGGTTTCATAAGAAATACATTGTAAGACCACTATTTACATAAAACGAGCTGCACATGCCATAATGTATAAGTGAATTACCATTGCAATTTGTTGTCTGTTCTTGAAACATGTCAGACATAGAGCAACTCTTTTATAAAACATACAATCTGGTTTTCACTTAAAATGTCAAATGTGATTATTTATGCTCTAATATTTGAAATTAAGTAACATGATCCACACTCACTTCAGTACGACACTGATATAACATAAATATTTAAGATGTTTTATATAAAATATAATTTCTCAATATCAAATATTTTTGGAATTAAAATCAGATAATTTCTTAGTCTCATACTTGGAAAGTGATTGACAAACTAGGAACATCATTCACAAATTACCTCTGCACAAGTAAAATGTGCTTGGTACATTTTATTTCCCTAAATTTTTTGTTATAGAAAACACTTTTAAGTTTGCTTTTTTAATCTTTTCAAATAACAAGGAAATCAGATAATAACCAAGTTAAACAAAATTCATTTGGTGTTTAAAATTTCTCTTTAATTTCTATTAAAAAGTATAAGAAAGTATGTGATACAAGTCTTCATTGGAAACAACCCTTTTCAGAATGACTTCCGAAATTTGCTAAGAGAATGTATCCTTATGCATTCTTTATACCCTCAGCAACAAGAGTAAATTAAAATGTTGTATATTGATACTTCACAGACTTCTGAAGCAAACCTATAATAAAAATGGTGTATTGGAAACACTTTATTCCATCAATGCCTACTACTTATTTAAGGATGCGCATTTCTGGTCAACTTGAATTTTTTCCCTTTGCACAATTTTGTGAATTTTATATTCTCAAAAGACATTAATTCCAAACAAACCATTTAAGGAAATTTTGAAACATCTGAAAACTAGATGTTGATTTAGCTGAGATCATTCAAGTTTTGTACACTCATGGCCAAAGTACTCAGGACTTGTGATGATTTGAATATTTTAAAACAATGGCTAGTTACTATATTTCTGTGCTTATGCTGGAGGAAGAGGGTGTAAAGTAAATATAGATTGGTGTGCACTGAAGCTGATTGGGCATATGCAGCTAAAATTAATGGTTTTGCTACATTTTTATAGTATAAAAAACACTTATAATATGTGTTCATCCACATTTATTTCTTTTCTTTTAAAGACATTTTCTTTACATTTTATTATATAGTATTTCATCCAGTCCCCTGCACAATATTGCGAGAAATGCACAATATCGGGATACTGAATATTTAAATCATTAATCACAATTTCTTGCAAGTAATGAGATCATTTATTCAGAAAAAGTTAAAAAAATAATAATAATAATAATAAAATTAAATTAAATTAAATTAAATTTAAAAAAAAAATGGGTTTTTAATTCTAAACTATTTATGTATGAAATAAATTAGTTGTTTCTCAAAGAAAAAATGCATATAGTTCATTCTTAAAACCACATTATGTTTTCAATTTTCTATGGCTTTCTATTTTTTATTTTTATATTGATCAGGAATGGTCAGCGGACTATCTAGAAGAGCTAATGCATTTCTCACAAGCTTAGCTATTGTAATAAAAAAAGGAAAATGGATTTTACCATTTTCATTCCTTATACACTCTAATACACACATGCATTTGCCCGCACACACAAACAAAGGCTTTCCAGTCAAGCATTTTATGTTTTAACCAACTTTGGAACAAGGCAGGTACTGACTTACAATGCAATGTACCATATTGATGTTAGAGATTCTTTTATTTTAAAAAAGTTTTTAAAAAATTGATCTTTAAAAATGGGCAAGTACAATTGTTTTGAAAAAACAAGTAGTTTTTATGTAATTTTTGTTTTAAGTCAATGCAATTTATAATATAACGTGTTTTTTTCTATCAACAACAGCTCCAAATTTTTTATTTAATTTTTTCCCACTGATAGAGCAAAGCATAAAAACAGTGCAGATCTCATTTTAATTGAACTCGTGAAAACCACAGAGATGCAGAATTTTGTGGTTGTTATCAATCCTATCAATGTATTTTTAAGTTAATCAATGAAGAGTAATACAAGAGGCCAAGCAACAAAAATTTCAATTTTTTTTTCTTCTTCTTGATGTGCTGTATGAAACAACGATCATTTCAATATACAATTAGCCACATCAATTTGTATCTGGAAGTAGTTCCAAATTGTTTTCAAAGATGTTGCTACATGATATATCTGTCATTGAAGATAAAATGGGCTTTTGCCACCATTAATGAAGACCCCAAATAAAAAAATGCCTAATAGTGACTCATGAACTTTCAATATAGACTTACAAGTGTTAACACTTCCTGCACTTCATGATAGCCAACTATTATTCTCAACAATTATCTTGCTTCAATTTTTGCATAAATGTAGAAGACAATACAGCACAAAGGAATAACTAGAAAAAGTGGTAATGAGTTCACTTCAACATTATTAAAGGCAATAAAATGAAAAATTATTTCAAAGCCAAAATTAATTATTTGGAGTAATAATTGCATTGCCCAAAATAAAAATCAGATGAGACTTTTCCTTTGGTTTTACCTGTTAGATTTATTGATGAAAAGTATCTTTTTTCTGAACACTTTTTTAGGCAGTGATTTCCTTGAATTGAAAAATAGAAATGTGAATGTAACTGTCAGGTATGGTACCATTTGATGTATAGAAAGTTATTGTTTCCTCAAGAATTTACCAATAATTTTTGTCAAATATAATGGATTAATTTGTGTTCCATGATTAAAATCTCTTTTAAAGAAACTCTTGTAAGGCCTAAACTTCATATTTCAAAGGTTGAGTGGATCAAAATAAATAAGGACAAAACTGGAATATCAATTCGAACCTTCGATGATTCTGCAAAGTGTGATATTTTGATTGTGATATTTTCTGAAAGCACGCCAAATGAACATTATTGCCTCTTTTCTCCATCTCTGATTTTAATGAGCAGACATTCAACTGAAAAGATTTAATATGGGATATAATGGATTACCTGAAGGATGAAAATATCTTTTTACGGAAACATTCCAAAGCAATATTATTTCAAGCAATTTAGCAGAATGAAAGAACAAGCAAAGAAAGTTAGTAATTTTTTATACAAAGTAATTTTTTAGGCAAATAATTTTTTATACAAAATTTATTATTAATTAAATAAAAGTATTTTTAACTACTGCTTATGCATGCATAATTAGTATTCTTAACTTCCACTTGTACATAGCCAAAAATAATATAATTCTATTAATATTCATTTCCATTCCATATTTTCCATTTATTTTACTTCCTGCACATAAATCCAACCCATTATATTGTGTATGTAGTTCTGTAACATAAAGCCATATTTTATTTTAACTGGTTTTTAATGACTTGTTCCATGATCTTATATAAGCGCTGATTAAAAACTAACCAATGAATTTGTAAAATTATGGTTACTTTATGTAATAAAATTTTTAAAATAAGATTCTGGACTATAACATCTATTACAAAAAAATTACTTTTTCTCAAAACCTTTTTGTTTTTGCTTGGCCTGTCATACATTCAAAATCTTTATATTAGTTTTAGTTGAAGGTATGTTTCAAATATTTGGGTGATTCATATCTAAATATTTACAACTATCTTCTCCTTTCACTCGCTGCTCAATCAATTGTATATGTTAAATCTCTTTATTTGATAAACACTAGCAGAAATGGAAAGAGTTACAATGTGAAATACTTCTTAGATGTATATCAAATTAAATGCAGAAGTTCATTTAGCATCATGTATTTAATGACTGAATATTTGTCTGTTTTGGAAATGAATCATCCAAAACAATGGTCAATTTTTGTACGAAGTTTGACTACCTTGAGCATTAATACATACTCATATCAGAATGGTATTGAATCAATGACTAAAGTACATATTTTATAAGGCCTTGATGATGATCACGTGATGATTGGTATGCAACATATTTCTCCCCTTTGCATCCAAAACATTCTCTATGAGAGACAAAACAGAGAAATGAGCTGTCCAGTCTAGAATATGTATGTCTCATTCTTTTGAACAGGAATGCAGGGTGTACATTACCATGATGATACATGATTTTCTTATTGTGGTATGAAAAGAGGATCTGCTCCTTTTTCCATATACTGGAAGCACTCCTTGTGCCACTGCCACACTCAACAACTAAATTAGTCTTGATGTCATCAGCAATAGTTCCTAATAAAAATCCATGGAGTTGGAGATATATACCTCTGAAACGTCAGAGATGACTTTGCCCACAAACATGTTTTTTGTCAATCTCATAGCCAACAATAGAAGTAAGATTAATCACTTGTGATAAGAGAACTAGTTTGGTCTGAATATACACCAAGAAAGTTTCTGTGCATTGTGGTATGGCATTAAATTAGACATCACATGGGAAGTGTACTTCAATGGGAAGTGGGAAGGGTACTGGTTTCAATGTTTTTATGGTAATACTCTGCCAGATTTCAATCTTTGTCATCATATTCATTTGGACAATATAATGTTCTTCTCTTTTCGTGGATTCTCTTGAAATTTACAGTCTTCTTGCAACATTATTCTCTCCACTTGAATCCCTCTCCTCACCACTTGTTATGCAGTCATAGCTCTGAGCTAACAGCGCATAATGCTCTCTTGTCCCTCATGCCAATTATGCAACCTTTCTTAAAATCAAAACAGTGACTAATTATGATGGGTGCATCATCCAAGCATTTTGTGATTTTCACTCTGTCTGAAACATCACAAAATAATCAATATTAATATCATTAGTGAGAGCATCACTTGCTCACATCAACTTCAGCTTGTGTGAACAGCATGGGTGTTATTGCAAATATGCATGCATGACAATGAAATCATAATCAAATCATCTATTTGGTATCAAATATATCAAATGCTGTTACAGTAATTTGAGGCTGCCATTGTGTAACACTTTCCATTTACATTAGTGTATTATAAACATAACAATATATTTTTTAGCAAATGTATGAATCATAATTTGTTCCAAAAATGAAAAAATATACTATTTCAAGAGAAAATAAGAATGGAAGTATGATATAATAATAATTTTCAGTGGTAATATATTTGATGTACAATTTGTTGAGTTGTGCCACACAAAAGAGATAATTTGTTAAAAGTGTGTTATATCCCTTTGGGAGAATAATACGAATGCTTATTGCTCTTGTGGCAATCATGCATCTATCAATGAAGATACTGTGATAAGTCTAGCTTTAAAATAAGGGACCTTATATAATAATGTGCTTTTTAAAATTATTGTATAGATATTTGTAAATAGTATGTGCTGATATTTCAAAGTAAAAAATTTTTTTAATCAACTATGAGAATAGTTATTGGCAGTATTTCAGATTCAGTAAAGAAAGCTGAGATTTGATATTTCTCAAAGGCTACAAGTCACAGAGGTGGTTATAATAATATACAAATGTTTAATCTGAAATATTTGTATGCACTGCAGAAAAACTACATTAAAGTGTATTTAGATCA